AAAACCATAAAATATTTAAATTTGGGTTACCAGTACACTGTATTATCTTCATCTTTTTTCCACCCATTTACATTCAAAAATTTTTACATTCCTTTTTTTATTTTTGCAAAATTTCATTTTTTTTTAAAATTTTTACAAAATTTACATTCCTAACAGCTGCGATCAGTTCAATATCTGTCTTATCGAATTTGTTCTGATTATTCTCAATCACTAGTCAAAGTAGCACGAAAAATTGCTATATGCATAGCTAAAGAATCAAACTATAAATAATAGCTAATCCCATGTATCCAAGTATTTTCCAAGTACATCTTTCAATAGCATCACTGAAGAGTTCAAATCAGTATTCCTTACGAATTTGACTTCATTGTTCTTTCTGAAGAATCCGCTGGTAGAGGGCATAAGATCCAGGAGATGAGATTTGATGTAGTTTTTGGTTAAGCTCAAGGAGCAGTCGAGTTTCATAATCGTGTATATGTGCATGCAAACGTCGACCGTACATGTTTTTTTCCTCTGGACCTCGAACATTTCGAGCAGGAATGCACCTGAATTTTCGATATTTCAGTTTGTGAACTTTCAAGCAACTGATTTTAAATTGAAATTTTGGTGGTTTATAATTGTGAAGGATTATAAAAAGATATAAATGGAAATGTGAATAAAATAAATTAAAATCTGAATGGGAATGTTTTGGTCCATCAAGTCGCATACATTACTATTCACAATAATCGGCAAGGTGTAAAATTCCAGATAGGGCAGTTCTTTGGCTTGAAATACTTACACTTTTGCAGTGAGGTTCAGAGCTACTTTGACAGTTCTGGACTTATTTCATGGAAAACTTGCTGTCCCCACTACTCAAAATCAACTTTTAGCGGGCCGCCACCTGTTTAATTAGCTGATTTGGATGAAATTAAGGGGACATATCAATATTCGCCATCCATTCCATGCGTATACACATCGAACAGGCTGTGGGTACTAACTGGAGTATGTAGCTCAGGATCGAATTGCCTGGCATAATAACTATGCCCAGAGTTTAGGATCATTTTAGTAAAATCACCAACTTCAGATCATAACAGAGACAATCTGATTGGTCCTAGAAATAAGAATTTTCACTTTTTTAAAAAAAACTAATTTAAAAAAAAAAAAAAAAAAACCACAAACTGGCTGTCAAAGTCGTCAGTTTCTTGGGAAACCCAAGCCGTTATATATAATAAATTTTAGTTCTAATACCAAAACGCCCGGGTGCCGGAACTCTAAGAAATCTTAGTTTACACCTTTCCTTCTCATGAAATCAAGAAAGTTGTCGAACAAGGGCTGAAACGTCTTTGCTTTCACTTATCGCTAATTTAATTTTTTTCGAAAATTCCTCCAATTCTTAATGTTATGTAAGAAAAACTTACTTTTTAAATGCATGCTCCCAATCGCCACCAGATTCATATACGCTGTACAGGATTGAAGCAACTGCAAGTAGTGTTAAACTTTTCGAGCCGGACTTCCATCTGTAAATATTTCACTTAATATTTTACTTTGATAATGACTGATATGATTGATGACTGACCAAATTACCAGCGCCGATTATATTATCAAAAAATCGGTACAGACACACACACGGACACACAGACAACCCCTCGTCAATATGCA